CTTGCCATGTGTTTCGGTCCTGCTTGTCAACACCAATATGTTCACGAATTGTTCTAGAGCGCAACATCAGGGCAAATTGCTTGCTCGACGAGCAGAAACTTGTCGCCGCGCCCGATGACGGCATCAAGAGCCGCAAACCCGCCTGACTTGAGAATTGTTCCGATTTTAGCCTGGTCCAGAAGGACCACTTTTTTCTTTTTCATTGCGACGCCCCTTCATCATCTGCGCTGACAAAAAGGCTGTAATTCTGAAGCAGATATTCTTCGGTCTCGCGTGCGTGAACACCGGGAAGACGACCCTGTAGAATATCATCAGCGACTTCTCTAGCGACATGGTGGAAAACCTGGCCAAGATGAGGATACCCCGCCTTGAAACAGAACCATTGCCAGAATTCGATCAGCAACTGGACGGCCTCATCGGGAAAAAGAGCCATTTCAGGATCGTCATCTTCGAAGGGACCCTTTTTTTCCAAAAGGTCCCACCAATCGGAGAGCTCCTTCATGGCACTTCTCGTTTCCTCATTGCCGAGCATCACTTCAACCAGATGCAGAACCTGGGAAATCGGGGGTTTGGGAGGCATTCCATGGACAAACTTGTTTTTATGGGCACGCCAATCGTCCATGACGGGATCGTAGATCCCGGCGTCGGTGTCGGTGTTTTCGTCACCGTATTGGAAATATTCGTATTCTTCCCGCCAACCGGCGATATTATCGATACTTGCCATGTGTTTCGGTCCTGCTTGTCAACACCAAAATGTTCACGAATTGTTCTAGAGCGCAACCTCGGGGCAAATTGCTTGCTCGACGAGCAGAAACTTGTCGCCGCGCCCGACGACGGCATCAAGAGCCGCAAACCCGCCAGTCTTGAGAATTGTTCCGATTTTAGCCTGGTCCAGAAGGACCACTTTTTTCTTTTTCATTGCGACGCCCCTTCATCATCTGCGCTGACAAAAAGGCTGTAATTCTGAAGCAGATATTCCTCGGTCTCGCGTGCGTGAACACCGGGAAGACGACCCTGTAGAATATCATCAGCGACTTCTCTAGCGACATGGTGGAAAACCTGGCCAAGATGAGGATACCCCGCCTTGAAACAGAACCATTGCCAGAATTCGATCAGCAACTGGACGGCCTCATCGGGAAAAAGAGCCATTTCAGGATCGTCATCTTCGAAGGGACCCTTTTTTTCCAAAAGGTCCCACCAATCGGAGAGCTCCTTCATGGCACTTCTCGTTTCCTCATTGCCGAGCATCACTTCAACCAGATGCAGAACCTGGGAAATCGGGGGTTTGGGAGGCATTCCATGGACAAACTTGTTTTTATGGGCACGCCAATCGTCCATGACGGGATCGTAGATCCCGGCGTCGGTGTCGGTGTTTTCGTCACCGTATTGGAAATATTCGTATTCTTCCCGCCAACCGGCGATATTATCGATACTTGCCATGTGTTTCGGTCCTGCTTGTCAACACCAAAATGTTCACGAATTGTTCTAGAGCGCAACCTCGGGGCAAATTGCTTGCTCGACGAGCAGAAACTTGTCGCCGCGCCCGACGACGGCATCAAGAGCCGCAAACCCGCCAGTCTTGAGAATTGTTCCGATTTTAGCCTGGTCCAGAAGGACCACTTTTTTCTTTTTCATTGCGACGCCCCTTCATCATCTGCGCTGACAAAAAGGCTGTAATTCTGAAGCAGATATTCCTCGGTCTCGCGTGCGTGAACACCGGGAAGACGACCCTGTAGAATATCATCAGCGACTTCTCTAGCGACATGGTGGAAAACCTGGCCAAGATGAGGATACCCCGCCTTGAAACAGAACCATTGCCAGAATTCGATCAGCAACTGGACGGCCTCATCGGGAAAAAGAGCCATTTCAGGATCGTCATCTTCGAAGGGACCCTTTTTTTCCAAAAGGTCCCACCAATCGGAGAGCTCCTTCATGGCACTTCTCGTTTCCTCATTGCCGAGCATCACTTCAACCAGATGCAGAACCTGGGAAATCGGGGGTTTGGGAGGCATTCCATGGACAAACTTGTTTTTATGGGCAAACCAATCGTCCATGACGGGATCGTAGATCCCGGCATCATAGTCGGTGTCGTCGTCACCATATTCAAGATATTCATATTCTTCCCGCCAACCGGCGATATTGTTGATACTTGCCATGTGTTTCGGTCCTGCTTGTCAACACCAAAATGTTCACGAATTGTTCTAGAGCGCAACCTCAGGGCAAATTGCTTGCTCGACGAGCAGAAACTTGTCGCCGCGCCCGACGACGGCATCAAGAGCCGCAAACCCGCCAGTCTTGAGAATTGTTCCGATTTGAGCCTGGTCCAGGAGGACCACCTTTTGCTTTTTCATTGCGACGCCCCTTCATCATCTGCGCTGACAAAAAGGCTGAAATTCTGAAGCAGATATTCCTCGGTCTCGCGTGCATGAACACCGGGAAGACGACCCTGCAGAATCTCATCAGCGACTTCTGTAGCGACGTGGTCAAAAACCTGGCCAAGATGAGGATACCCCGCCTTGAAACAGAACCACTGCCAGAATTCGATCAGCAACTGGACGGCCTCATCGGGAAAAAGAGCCATTTCAGGATCGTCATCTTCGAAGGGACCCTTTTTTTCCAAAAGGTCCCACCAATCGGAGAGCTCCTTCATGGCACTTCTCGTTTCCTCGTTGCCGAGCATCACCTCAACCAGATGCAGAACCTGGGAAATCGGGGGTTTGGGAGGCATTCCATGGACAAACTTGTTTTTATGGGCACGCCAAACGCCTCTAGCGGGATCGTCGGTCGCAGCATCAGTGCCGTCACCATATTCAAGATATTCATATTCTTCCCGCCAGCCGGCGATATTGTCGATACTTGCCATTCATTCGCTCCGTGGAATGTCTTGAATTCTTTTTTCGTTCTAGTGCTCTTAAAAACGTGCGCACACACAAAAAGATCAATTCAAGCATCAGCTCTTTCGGCTAAATTCGGAATGCCACCTATTGGGTCGAGCGCACGAAGTTTGTCCGATTAACCGGTGATATCTTCTAAACCTGCCATCAGAACCAATCCTGTCTTGCCGCTGCAATATGTTCATGAATTGTTCTTAATTGCAACCAATGCGCGTGCAGCCGCTCGCGCAACTCAGAAAAAGCTGCTCTCCTGTGTCGTGCGGTCCCGGCCGCACTTTCCCAATGTACCGTGATGAGGCCTGTTTTAGCCCCGTTTTGACGAAGCGTCCATCAGACGAAGATGTCTGAAGTGTGTTTTCAGACCAAACGGTCGGAAAAGTAATTTCAAAACAAGATATTAGCCCAGATATTGTGTTGAGCGCGTAGAAGATGTTTTTTCAAATTCTCCAACCGAGGAGCCGTTTTTCCAGGAAGCCGATCAACGCACTGACGAGAACACCCAGCAGCGACAGGATAACCACACCGGCAAACAAACGCTCCAGATCGTATAGCGACCCGGCTTCCAGAATATAGGCGCCGATGCCGTATTCCGCGCCCAGCATTTCCGCCGCGACCAGAAGAATGATCGCAATCGCAAGGCTGATGCGCAGTCCCGAAAGAATACCCGGCATCGCGCCGGGCAACACGATCTTGCGCACGATCGAGGACCAGGAAAGCCCGAAACTCTGTCCCATGCGGATCAGCGAGCGATCGACATTGTCCACCGCGCCATAGGTCGCAACCACGGTCGGCGTGAAGGTGCCGAAGGCGATCAGCGCGTATTTCGAGCCCTCATCGATGCCGAACCAGATCACGAAGAGCGGCAGGAGCGCAATCTTGGGGATTGGAAAAATAGCTGCGACCAGCGGCACCAGTCCCGCCCGGGCGTAGGAAAACAGCCCGATCAGAACACCGATCGCAATTCCGGTGCTCGCCCCGAGTGCCGCTCCGATAACAAGACGGGTCAGCGACGGCTGCAGATGCTTGAACAGAAGACCGCTTTCCCACAGCTCCCGGAAGGTTGCCAGCACATCTGTCGGCTTGGGCAGCGTCAACGCGGAAATCCAGCCACTCTCGGTGCCCCATTGGACCATCGCGATCAGGACGACGAAAACCGCGACACCGACCCAGCGCAGTGACCTGGGTGCAAATCCGCCGCCACGGAACCGCACTTCGATCGGCCCGTCACCATCACGTTTTTTTCCCGCCCCCGTGTCAGCCATCGATCAGTTCCTCGTCCGCAGCTCGCGCTTCCTCGCGCATGAGTTCCCACAGAAGGTCGTGTTTGCGCTGACAGACCGGGTCGCCGGCCCGGCGCTCACTGATCGGTGTATCGATGCTGATAATTTCCCGGATCCGCCCGGGGCGGCGCGAAAGCACCACGATCGTATGGCCAAGCCGCACGGCTTCAGCCAGGTTGTGCGTTACATAGACGGCGGTAAAGGGCTGGCGCGTCCAGAGGGCGACCAGGTCGTCCATCAGCAATTCGCGTGTTTGCGCGTCGAGCGCCGAGAGCGGTTCGTCCATCAGCATGACGGCCGGGTTGACCGCGAGCGCACGGGCAATGGCCACTCTCTGCTTCATTCCGCCGGAAAGCTGCTTTGGAAGCGCATCGGCGAAATCGGCAAGTTTGGTGCGGTTCAGCACGTCATCGATGATTGCCTTGGAGCGCTTGCCGCGAATGCCGTGATCCTCCAGCACAAGCGAGACGTTGCCCTTCACGGACCGCCAGGGCAGCAGTGCAAAATCCTGGAACACGAAGGTCAGCGGGTTGAGGCTGTCGGCAGGCGGTACGCCGACTTGAAGCACGCGGCCGTTGCCGGGCCTTTCAAGACCGCCGATCAGACGCAACAATGTGGATTTGCCGCATCCCGATGGACCGACCAGACAAACGATTTGTCCCGCGGGGATGTCCAACGAGATATTTCGCAGCACTTCGGTATGACCATAGTGATGGCTGATGCCGTCCAGTTTGATATCCATGCCTACCCGATAGCTGCCTGACAACATGCCCGCATGAGACGAAACGGCGGCCATTTTCGGCCACCGTTCTCGCTGCGTTGATGCTCAGCCTTCGTATGTTTCGACGTAGCTTCCGTCGACCAGTGTGTCGAGCGTGATGTCCTTGCCGACCAGGTCTTCGGCCTGGAACCACTCCAGCTGGTCGCGCAGGGACGCAATGTTCAGCTTGGAACCTTCGTTTATCCGCATCGTGCCGTTGATGATGGACGGCGCAGCCTTTTCGCGCGGACGGTCGGTGTAGACGTATTTGTGGATCAGATCGACCATCTCGTTCACGCCGGCATCGCCACCGGCCTTGTCGATCATGGTCGAGTTGTAGTCGCTGACACCCTTGCCGAACCCGGTCAGGAAGTCTTTGGTCTGGTCGCGCTCGTCGGCGGCATTCTTTGCCGAGGTGAAGACCGTCGTCACCTGGTAGCCGGGAAGGTAGTCCGAGATATTTCCGATAATGTGAACGGCACCTGATCCGGCCAGCGGCTTGGCAATATGCGGCACGATCGACCAGGCATCAATCTGCCCGGATTTGAGTGCCCCGATGATTGCGCCAACCTTTTGCAGCGGCTTGAAGGACATCTCGACGCCCTCGGCCTCGGCGACTTTCGAGCCCATGTAGTGGAAGGACGATCCAGCCGTGGACATGCCGAACGTTTTGCCACCGAGCTGCGAAGGTGACGTGAGGCCAGACTTGAATGCTGCATCTGACGCCAGGATTTTCTGGCCATCAATGCCCTTTTCTTCGCTGAGCGCACCGCCGATCACCTTGATTGCGCCCTTGTCGGCGAGCGAAACCAGGCCGCCGGATACAGCAGTTACCGCATAGTCGACATCACCGGACGCGATCGCCACGGCCATCGGCTGCGCCGCCTGAAAGAACTTCAACTCGACATCAAGACCCGCATCATTGAAGTATCCGCGTTCAAGTGCAATGAAACTGCCGGAATGGGAAGTGAAGCGCAGCGCGCCCACCACGATCTTCCTGTTCTGCGCAATGGCCGGTGCGGCCAGGCTCGTCACGGCAGCTGCCCCCATCAGGCCAAGGGTCTGGCGTCTGTTGAATTTCATCTTTCAATCCTCCCGTTTCATTGCGTTCTTGCTGTTGTCTTGCCTGCACCGAGATCGGCGCGAATGTCTTCTTCAAGCAGCGCGAGTGCACTCACCTCGTCCCGGCTGAGAACGGCTCTTTGAAGCCTCTCCAACCGGTCTGCTCGTTCCAGAAAGTCGATCCGGCCTTCACGCAAGAGCGCAAGACGGAACCGGCGCGACTGATTGTAGAATTTTCCGGCGATCTGGATGAGCCGGCGCGAACCACAAGCGGACAAAAGTGTTTCCGATGCTGCGCGGCAGGCTTCGTCCCATTCGAGCGCGGTGATATCCTCGGGTTGCGCGACGACGGCTGCTTCCGCGCGGCTGAGCGCATGAAAGGCGGCAACCACTCTGGATTCCCATGCGACATCCCCGCGTTCCATCGCCCGCGACAGACCAAGCTTCTCGGTCTGGATCCGCATCAGCAGAATGTCTTCCAGATCTTCCTGCGTCGCGGACATCACTCGAAACCCGCGCTGGCTGGTCGCCTCGACCAGACCTTCCGCCGACAGCATCCTCAACGTCTCGCGCATGGAGTGGTTGGACCCGCCATAGGCTTGGCGGAGCGCTTCGATTTTCAGCTTTTCGTCCGGGGGAAGAACACCGAAAGAGATGTCGCGGCGGATCGCCGAGGCGAGCATGGCCACAACCGTCTCGTCATCACTATTGCGTCCACCAAAAAGCATTCTGTGCCTTAATTACGAAAAAGTTGGATATTTTTTCGATAATCGACAAAGCTCTGTCAAGTGCAGCACCACATGACACCGGCACTATCTGGATTGCAAATTAAGCTTTCGACAGATTGCTTGGGGATCGTGCCGCCGTTCGCTCTCAAGACACGAACAGCGACGGATGATATCAGCGCATCACGAACGGATTGCTCATGGGTGCTTCAGACATGTTGATCCAGGTCGTTTTGGTCCGTGTGTAATCCAGGATCGCCTCTAGCCCCGCTTCTCTGCCATATCCGGACTGGTTGAACCCACCGAAGGGAGCGATCGGGGAAACGGCCCGATAGGTATTCACCCAGCAGATCCCGGCCCTCAGCCGAGAAGATACGCGGTGGGCCCGCGCCACATTCTGTGTGAAGACACCCGATCCAAGGCCATATGGCGTATCATTTGCCAGTGCAATTGCCTCTTCTTCGGTGTCGAAAGGCAGGAGTGACATGACGGGACCGAACATCTCGACCTGAAGTGTCTCGGTCTCGGGCGTTTTGCATTCCACAAGCGTCGGAGCCATGTAGTTGCCAGGCCGATCAAGCGGCGCACCACCGAACCGTATCCGGGCCCCTTGCGATTTGGCGGCCTCGAGGGTCGCCCCGATCTTTTCTACCTGTGCGCGGGTGCAAAGCGGTCCGACATGGGTCGACGCCGCAAGTGGATCGCCGACGACAATGCCTTCCGACTTCTCGGCTATTCGTCTTGCCAGTTCTTCGAAAACCGGTCTTTGAACCAGTCCGCGGGTGCCGGCGACACAGCTCTGTCCGGACGCACCGAAATTGCCGGCGATCAAACCGTTGGCGGCCCCTTCAAGATCCGCATCCTCAAACACAAGAATGGGAGACTTGCCGCCGAGCTCGAGCGTGGTGACCGCAAAATTTTCCGCAGAATTGCGTACAACGTGCCGTGCGGTTTCCGGGCCGCCGGTGAAAGCTACCCTGTCGACATCCTTGTGCCGTGTCAGCGGAATGGCGCAATTTTCCGCGTCCCCCGTGATCACCGAAACGACGCCGGCCGGGAAACCAGCCTCTTCGATCAGCCGCGCAAATTCCAGCATTGGCGCCGGAGCGATTTCGGAGGCTTTCAACACCACGCAACATCCGGCTGCCAGAGCCGGTCCGAGCTTGGTTGCCGTCAAAAACATCTGGGCATTCCAGGGAACGATCGCAGCAACGACACCGATAGGTTCGCGCCGTGTGAACACATGCATGTCAGGCTTGTCGATCGGAAGAACCTGGCCTTCGATCTTGTCTGCAAGGCCTGCGTAGTAGCGGTAGTAGTCACCGACGTATTTTGTCTGGCTGGCGGTTTCGGCGAGCAACTTGCCGCTGTCGGTGGTTTCGATTTCACCGATGTGAGCAGCACGTTCCTCGATCAGTTCCGCCAACCGGTAAAGCAGCTTGCCGCGCGCCGTCTGGGTCATGTCCCGCCATGCGGGATCAGCCAGCGTGCGCTTGGCGGCGGCAACAGCCCGATCGACATCCTCAGCTGCTGCGCAGGCAAATGTCGCCCAGTCCTGCCCTGTTGCCGGGTTTTGCGACGACATCACCTGTCCGGTACGTCCATCCGTCCAGCCGCCGTCGATGAAAAGCTGATAATGCTGCATCATGTCCTCTCAGCCGAACGCCGGCATTACATCGTCGATGAAGCGGCTGAGCGACGCGCGCTTGCGCTCCGCGCTCATGCCGCTGTCGATCCAGAACGAAAACTCGTCATAGCCGAGGTCCTCGTAGCGCTTGATCCGGTCGATGACCTCACTCGCCGTTCCGATCGTCAGGTCCCTGGCAAGGTTCTCCGGCGCGATCATCTGGTTCGCCGCCAATTCCTCATTCGAAAGCTCGGCGATCAGGCCTTGCGACACCGGGCGCTTGTTCTGGAACCATGCGCCAAAGTAACAGTAAAAACGAGAGAGTTCCTGCGTTGCTCTGAGAACATCATCGCTGTCGGAGCCGACATAGGTGTGATGCAGCAGCATGATTTTGGGCCTGGGCCCATCCCAGGACGCGCAGGCGTCGTTGAACCGGCCCATCAGCGTTTCCACTTCATCATGCCCCTGCCATAGGGGCGTGACCTGGATATTGAAGCCGTTGTGAACACCGAATTCGTGACTGTTCGGATCCCGCGCTGCAATCCAGATCGGAGGTCCGTTTTCCTGAACGGGTTTCGGTGATGAGGTGCTTGCGGGAAAATTGAAGAACTCTCCCTCGTGAGCGTGATCACCTTGCCAGAGCTTTCTTAGGAGTGGTGTCGTCTCGCGCATCCTCTGGCCGGCCTCCCAGGCATCCATTCCCGGCATCATCCGCTCGTATTCATAGGAATAAGCGCCCCTGGCAATTCCAAGTTCGATCCGGCCGCCCGTCATCAGGTCGGCCGCGGCCGCTTCGCCGGCCAGTTTGATCGGATGCCAGAACGGAGCGACGATCGTGCCGGTTCCCAGCCGCACATTTTTTGTGTGGTGCGCGAGGTCGACCAGCGACAGGAACGGGTTGGGGGCTATGGTGAATTCCATGCCGTGATGTTCACCGGTCCAGATCGCGCGCATGCCGCCATCGTCGGCCGTCCTGCAGAGCGCCAGAAAATCCTCGTAGAGCTTCGCGTGCGGCTCGTCCGGTGACAACCTCTCCATGTGAGCAAAAAGGGAAAATTCCATGGTCAGGCCTTTTCATTCAGCCGGTGGGTCTCGCCTGAGACCAGATCACCGAGATAGAGATTGAAATTGCGCGTCCGGGCCTCCTCCGCAAACCGTTGCAACATACGTGCGGTCGCGGACGAACTGTATTTGAGGCCGGCAAGGTCGGAAAACGGAATGCGTTCATACTCGCTGACTGGATTCACGGAAGTCGCTTTGCCAAGCAGGTAGGCAAAATGGACTTCCTTCGACCGGTCGTCGAAGACAGAAAAAACCGGTCCAAGTTCAACATCGGTTCCCAGGTGGCTCAGCTCTTCTTTCAGGCACTCCCTCAGGGCGGTCCGGTCAGGTGCAACGCATTCGGGCAGCCGGTAGCCATCCGGCGATGGCTTCAGCAGAACGCCTCCTTCAACCTCAATGAGCGCACCGCAGATATTCTTCCTGGCACCTGGATCACGCGCCTGATGCTCCAGGCCGAGACTGAAGAATTGCCCCCCTGAATATCCAAGTCCCCGTCCTTCACCCTGCTGGAATTCGGTAACTTCACCAATGAGAACAATATGATCGCCGGCCGGTATGACTTGATGGGTCCTGCAGGAAAACGCCGCGATCGCACCGTCTATCACCGGCACCCCGTGTGAGTTTGATGTATGAGCCACCCGTGCGAACCGGTCGCCCTTGTAACCGGCAAAGGTGTTGGCAACATCTTCCTGGCCTTCGCTCAGAACGCTGACAGAGAAATTCCTGCATGCGGAAAACACATTGAAGCTCGACAGGAACTTGCCCGGGCACACCAGCAATAGAGGCGGGTTAAGCGAAACCGAGGAAAAGGAGTTCGCGGTAAAGCCGACGGGAGTGCCATCTCCATCCAGCCCCGTAACCACGGTAACACCGGTCATGAACCGCCCGAAGGCATCCCGCAGGTCACGCGGATCGATTGCACTCATGATTGGCATCCTTCTGCGAAATCTAGCAGGACACGGTTCACTTCCGACGGATGTGTCATCGGCATCATGTGGGCCGCCGTCTCGACAATCCGCGCCGTACCATCGGGAGCAAGACCGGCCATTGCGCGGCTCATCGCCGGAGTGGAGTTCGGCTCGCGGCCACCCGTCATGAAAAGAGCCGGACATTGCAACGCTTTCAGCATCGCGTCGCGTGGACCGTTTTCATTGGAAAAGACAGAATAGGCGGTGCGGTACCCACCCGGATTCACATCGGAAAGCCAGGCATGGCAGGCATTGCGTTCCGGGCACCGCGCCTCGCCGAACCAGCGGGAGAGCGTGGCAGACGGATCGGAAACACTGACGCCATCGAGACCCGCAGCGCGTGCGCGCACCGCAGCCTGCGCAGCTCCGCTTCGCATGTAGATTGCGTTCAAGGCGGCAACGCCTTGAACCTGCCCCGGATATCGCGAGGCCAAATCCAGCGCGATCATGGCGCCCATCGAATGTCCAACAACAACAGCCGGCCGGTCCAGCAGGCTGGCGATCCGGTCGCCATAAGCCTGCAATGCCGGCTCACCTGGCAGTTCTGCGCTGCCGCAATGTCCGGGCAGGTCCGGAGCCAGTAATTCGAAACGTTGGGACAACGCGGCAATTTGCGCGTTCCAGGCCTCTGCCCGAAGGCCGACACCATGGATCAGCAGAACGCGAGGTCCTGACCCCGTCGATACAAGCGCAAGACCGCCCGTCTCAGACCGCTGCCGGGTTGTCCACATCATGGCCCATCTCTTTGAGGTCCTGATACCTGTCGCCAATTCGGTGAAACGGCCGGCCGGTAGTCGCGCCACCAAGCACGACGACGATCTCGTCAGCACGCGGAGCGTCGGGAATTGCGAATTGTATGGTCAGATAGTGAGACCTCCGCCCGGCATCGTTCTTGTCCATCAATGGAACCATGATCGGCGCGTTGGCGGGGCCGCGCGTGTTGGTGAATGCCAGATATGACTTTGCCCCGACTGCTTGCCGGTAGTGGTTGCCGAAGCGCAGCGTATGGATCAGGCCGGACGCGTGCTCCACCTCTCCATCGAGCCCGACGACCGCGGCCTTGCCATAGGCCTCGATAGCATCTCCGGTTCCGGCCAGTTTGATCATCCGTTCCGTCATCAGGCTGCCAAGAACCGGCCCATAGGCCTGGATTTCCGGGGTCAGGTCCTCGACAAAACGTCCGGCCCAGGGGTTGCGGACCACAGCCGCCACCGCAAACATGCGCCAGGGCGTATCCGTTTTTTTGAAGCCTTCGGTCAGCACTTCCTCGTCAAAGGTCACAATTTTCCTGATGTCAGGATCCATTCCCGTCCTCCGTTTGCCCCTCCAGGCTGATCAAACCACTATCGAACGCCTTGACATTTGGAACAAACGAATGATTTTCAGCCTTAGGTATTAGTGCAACTTATAGGTAACTTGACCATGGCACGCACACTGCCACCCTTGAACTGGTTTCGCGCGTTCGAATCCGCCGCCAGAAACCTGAGCTTTACGGCCGCAGCGGATGAAATCGGCATGACGCAGTCCGCAGTCAGCCAACAAGTCAAATCTCTGGAAACTCGTCTTGGCGTCCTGCTTTTCGAACGCAAGGCGCGGGGTCTTGCCCTCACAGATCATGGTCGCCGACTGCTGCCACAAGTGGATACCGCACTGGCAACACTGACCAGCGCGACCGGCGCCTTCGTGGCTGACCAGACTTCGGACTTGCTCACGGTTTCCGCATCAATCAGCGTCATCCAGTGGGTCATCGCCCCGATGCTCCCTGAATTCACCAAATGCCACCCGGATGTTGTGCTTCGGTTGATTGGTGCCGTGTGGCCGGATGAATTCACGCAGACCGCAGCTGACGTCGAAATTCGTTTCGGGTCCCGAAAACAGGCAGGGTTTGACGCCGAACTGCTGGGGTCCGACCGACTGATTGCCCTGAAAGCCCCCAATCTGAAGGGTAAGATCGAAAATCTGCCATTGATCGAAGCCGTCGGAACCTCGGACGGCTGGAAACCTTGGGCGCAGGCAGCCGATGTCGCACCGTTGTCGCCATCCTTGTTCGTGGATAGTTACGGACCTGCCCTTCAGATGGCTATTTATGGCAACGGTGCATGTCTCGTTCACAAACTCCTTGCGACCGCGCCGATGCAGCAAGGCCTGATTGAACAGGCTCACCAGGTCTCGATCGCGGCCAATGAGAGTTATTTCCTCACGGTAAAATCGAAAACGAAGGCCGCCCTCACCTTCAGGGACTGGATTGTCGCATCTGTGAGCGGTGATGATACGGCCGGCAGTTCCAGGAAGCAGGCCGGACTTCAACCGGGCGACCTTTGCGATCTCCCCGGCTGAAGGAAACCAACCGACAGTCAGACCGCCGTTTTGAGCCGGCAAGCAAGGTTTTGCAATATCACGCGGTTCCTGCTTGTGACGGTACTCCGCTTCCAGCCGTATTTCTCGCATATCCTGCTGAATTTTCCGCCGCCGGCCTTGCACATAACTTCAAACTGCAGCGCCCGGCGACTGTCCGGATCTTCAATCAGAGAAAACCAGGTCAGGGCTTCCTCTGCACGCGATATCTGATGTGGCGGAAACGTTTTCTGCCGCCGCGCAATCTTTCTCCGGTAATCCGGCCAGGCGGAAAGAATGGACTTGGGACCATCCCCCTTGCCCGTCACGGCGACCACTTCAACAGCCTCGATCAGCCGCTCCAGAACCTGATCAGGAACCACGGATAGATTGGCTTCACACATGTCGACGATCCTTTCTGCAAGCTGGAATTCATAAAACCCGGAAGGTGAGCTCTATTCCAACTTGAAGATCGCCGATCGTGCCGGATATCCGGTCGGTCGACTTTGGCGAGCCGTCGTTAATCTGCGTTCGATTCCCGAGCCTTCTGATACCCCTGTTCCCAGAACTCGAAATAGTCGGCCTGACGCGGATAGGGGTTGTCGGTCTGCGACTTGCCCTTCTGGTATGCCTCCACGCCACGTTCGAAGGCATGGACCTGCGCTTTTGTCTGATACGTATTCATTTGCCCCACCGACGATTGCAAGGATTTGCCTCCGGCAACCGCCCTTTGTCTCCACCGGCCGCGCAGCACTCCACACCAATAGCGCGACTTTTTCCAGGCGCTCTACACAGCCAGTGATTGAAGAAGAAAATGTAGCCAACTTTCCCTGCATGACAACCATCCTCACGCCGCTTTCCCCCGTATTTCCACCCTGATTGATCGGTCAAGTTCGTATGAAAGCAACACAGCGAGAGTGATTGTCGGCGCGCTCGGGTTGACTTCTTTTGCTCGTGTCAACAGGGCTTCGAGATCAAACCGATCGAAACACGTTACGAACGTCGGGTGTTCGACCAGATCAGGCTTGTTCAAAACCAGCCAGGAAACGGCCGTCAGAACCGGCGCGGACCAGTTGCCGCGGTTGGAGGGTGTATTGATCAAGCCAAGTACCAGGCGAAGATGTCCTGCACCGTGTTTCCTCAGCAAGGTGTCGCAGGTGCGCCTTGCCTTGGACTGGTGCGGACCTTCGATGCGCTTTGTGGCTGAAACGAAATGAATACCGAATTCAGCCGCAATCCTGTCCACCTGCCCACCTGACGTCATCAGCGGCCCTCCGTGGTTTTTCCGACTTCATGTTGCAGGGCGGCAAAAGACGCTTCGGCTCTTTCTCGTGCACTCAAGCTAAGATGTTTATGTTTTGTTCTCATGATTTTCCCAACCTCGGAACGATCCTTGAATTCGTGACGGCTTCTTTCTGAACCGCCCTGATGTCGTTGCCTGGCCACATCAGTGGACTTCAGCTCCGATCTCAAACAACGCAACTCCAGCGTCAGCAGGCGGGTTCGCGCCTTTTCCAACGCATATTCATCCTCCAGACGCGCGCACGGCCGTTCGGCGCGCAAACGGCAGTGAGCCACTCGATCCATGGCTTCCTCGATTTGCTCTTTAAGTCCGTTCACCAATTGGTCCTCTTGCTTTGTTGTTGAACAAACACTTCCCAACTTCCTTTTGCCTTTCGTAATCAGTCAGAATATCGTACGTAAATAGCGTACACTTGTCAACGCAGAATTCATACGGTAAAAGAAAAAAGGACATCATGAACAACTTGCGGCACCCGGCAACATGGACGAACAAGAACGATCCCTTCATCACAAGCTTCAGAAACTGAAGGAAAGGTCGAGCCTCTCCCTTCGGGCGATCGCTCGTGAAATGGGATATTCCCAGGCCTCGTCTATTCAGCGTTACTTTTCGTCTGACTATCCGGAAACTGGCTTGCCTGCGAATTTCATCAGCAAATTACTGGCTGTCCTTCCCGGCAGGGGCGACCCCGCGATCACTCGCGAAGAAGTCCTCGCGCTTGCCGACGGTTCGGTTGCCGAGATTCAGCGCAAGACGCCGGACCTGCCGAAAACAGGCGTCCCCATCGTCGGCGAGGTCGCAGCCGGGCTTTGGATGGAAGCGGCACTTTTCGAAACTGAAAATTCATTAGAATCAACAATATCCTATGATATTCGCTTTCCCGCCCAGTCGCAGTTTGTTGTCAGGGTACGCGGGGAGTCCCTCAATAGAATTGCAGGCAATGGTGATTTGCTTTTGTGCGTTGACTATCTCGCCGCAGGAATAGAACTGAAGGAAAACGACCTCGTATTGGTCGAGCGCTCACGCGACAATGGCATGACCATCGAACGCACAGCCAAGCGCCTTGTCAGCCTGAATGGCCAATCAGAATTGATGCCGGAGTCGGACGACCCGAGATTTCAGGACACGATCTTCTACCGGGAAGGTGATGTTGACCATACCGAGGTCAAGATCAAGGCCAAGATAATCATGGTCTTTAAGCCACTCTGATTTGGGCAAACAGCTCTGAAAACCGCTGGATGCACGGGAGTTCCAGGTTCAAAGCCATGCACCTGTCGTACGCATTCACGTACATATTCATTCAAATTTCTTTCTTTGTACGTATTTTGCGTATAAACTGACATTGATTTGAAGGAGGCACATGATGAAACTCAATCTCGATACATCCTTTTTCTCTGTTGTTTGCGAACTAGGGAGGACCTTGTATACGCCAGAGCTCGAGTTGGCCGACATGCACAAACGTCAACTCGTGGAAGACATCAAGACCGGACAGCTCGAACAGGTCAGAGCGATTCTGGAATTCAATCCGGTCGAGGGTTGGTGCAGCGACATCACCGAGGACGTCCTGTCAGCAGCCTTCCCGGATATGCAAGACAGCGACAATGACCCGGCCGGGGAAAACGTCGGCTATCGCAGCGAACGAATTGACGGCCAACTGGCAGGCGTGGCGCGTCGCATTGCGGCCTGATCAAGAACAGTTTTGAGAGGTTTGCAAATTGTCAAACCAGCTTTGCCACCGCCTCGCGTGCGCCCAGAAGCTGCTTGGCCAGACTTTCTCGCAATCCGGCAAATCGATGTGAGGGAACCGGCACGGAGATGGCATAGACCAGACCGACAGGGTCCTGAAAGGCAAATCCGGCTGCCGAGATACCTTGTGTATGCTCATCCAGATCCCAGGCAATACCTGTTTCCCTGATGTCTTCAATCTCTTTGAGAAAGTCGGACAGCGGACGCTGACTTTGGCCGGCATTCTTCAGCTCGCGGCTGGCAATTGCAACGACACGATCATCTTCAAACAAGGACAAGGCAGCCTTGCCGTTTGCCGTATCCGTCATCGGAAAGACCTCGCCGACCGCAGAAACGGTCCGGAGCCGATGCGTACCGACGACCTGATCCAGGAACACCATATGATCGTCTCGTAAGACGGCAAGATCCACCGTCTCCTTTGTCCGCTTCGCGAGATCCGTCAGAACAGGATGAACAAGTTCCGTCATGTTGACACGGCCGGCCGCGGCGAGCGACTGAATTTCCGAACCGAGACGAAGTCCACCTTCAGCGGATGAGGACATGACAAGGCGTTCCGTAAGAAGGGCGTTGACGATCCGCTGTACCGTAGAGCGGGGCAGATGTACACGTTCGGCAATCTGCCCCAGGCTTAGTCCCGTGTTGTCGTTTTTTAAGACTCGCAGAATTTCGGCTGCCCGTGAAATAACCTGAACACCTTGATTTGTCTGTATTTTCTTTTCTGATTCCATCGTCAAAACCACTTTTTTGCCCCCTCCAACCGGACCCCGGATTCGCCTTTCTGCATAGCGCTGAATGCAGCATATAGGTCAAATTCTGGTCTATGTCGAGATTTCCTATTGACCGCATTATGATGCATCTGTACCGTTTAGCAATACAGTGATACACTGACTGACGGGAGGAACACATATGTCAGTGACTATTCGCGGCATCGAGTTTCAGGAAAACCTGAACAATGATATGGGCGTTGAATTCTACAACCTGTCCCACCGCTACGGCTTTCAGTGCCCGAACTGGCCCTATTTCCAGGATGTCCAGATCGACCGGAAGCACTACATGGCGAAATCCGGCGTGCTCTCACAGACCATCACGACGACGATGCACGTGACCACGCATATTGATGCGCCTGCACACGTCGTTCAGGGCACACCCTTTATCGACGAGGTTCCGTTGCCGCATTTCTTCGGCTCCGGACTCGTGGTCTCGATTCCCAAGCAAAAGTGGGAGCAGATCACCGGCGACGATCTGGAAAAGGCTTGCGGCCATGCCATCCGCAAGAATGATGTGCTGATCATCAACACCGGCTGGCACAAGCAGTATGAGGACGGTGACTACTTCGCCTATTGCCCTGGACTGGTTCCCTCGGCCGCCGACTGGATGGTCGAGAAAGGCGTCAAGGTCGTCGGGCACGACACCCAGGCCAATGATCACCCGTTGGCAACGGCAATCGGACCGCAACGGAACGGGCCGATCATGCCGCACCTGGAAGCCGAATACCTTGAATGGTCAGGCGGTCGCGACTGGAAAGACGATTTTCCCGAGTGGGAACCGGTGCACAACACGCTCTTTTCCAACGGCATTCTCGGCATTGAAAATGTCGGCGGTGATCTTGATGCGGTCACCGGAAAACGCTGCACATTTGCCTTCTTTCCATGGAACTGGGATCGCGGAGACGGCTGCATCATTCGTCTCGTCGCAATGATCGATCGCGGGCAACACTACCGCATAGAGCCCGGCGAAGAGTTCTGATCACCTGAAACAACAGGACCGCCAGGCAACCCTGGCGGTCTCTATTGCCGCGTCTGGGAGGAAGCGATGCACGTAAAGCGTTTTGACGACGCACAGCCATACGAGGCGCCCAATCACAGGGGCGTGGTCGGCTTGCGCCTTCAGGGATTTGAAGATGGTGGTCCGGAAAATCAATGGATCGGCCTGAGCCAGTTTCTTCCGGGCGGTGGCGCCGGACCGGATTCGACCCCGTTCGAGAAAGTTTATGTCGTCCTGGAAGGTGAAATGACCGTCTTGGTCAATGATGCCGAAACAGTGCTGAAAAAATACGACAGCTGCACGATCGCACCGAACGAAGTTCGCTCAATCGAAAATCGCTCCAACCACGTCTGCACGATGCTCGTCGTCATTCCCTACCCGCCGGAGGCAAATTGATGGCTGATGTCTGGACCCATCCGCTCGAATTGTTCGATATCAAGGGCAAGGTCGCCCTTGTAACCGGTGCCACAGGCGCTTTTGGCGCGGTTGCTGCCAATGCGCTTGCGGGCGCTGGTTGTGATCTCGTGCTGGCGGCGGGAAACAGTGATGCACTCGAAAAGATCGCCGGAGAATGTCGCGCCAAGGGCGCGGCAGTCGAGACGGTCAACAAACGCCCTTCCAGCGCGGAAGTCTGCGCGGAAATGGTTGAGAATTGCGTCGCGCATCATGGCTCTCTTGATATCCTTGTTGTCGCATCCGGCATGAACAAGGTTGCCAAAATCAACGACCTGACCCCGGAAGACTTTTCGAGCGTCATGGAAGCGAATGTGACCCAGTCCTGGCTGCTGGCGCGTGCTGCCACCTCGCAGATGATGACGCAACCGCAAGGTGGCAAGATCGTTCTGGTATCATCGGCCAGGGGCCTGCTGGGCCATCCCGCGGGCTACACGGCCTATTGCGCGTCGAAGGCGGCCGTGGACGGCATCACCAAGGCCCTCGGCTGCGAACTGGGTGCCGACAACATCACGGTCAATGCAATTGCACCGACCGTTTTCCGATCTCCCCTCACGGCCTGGATGTTTGAAGACGACGAACTGGCAAAGGGATTCAGGGACGGCTTTCTCGCCCGTGTCCCCAAAGGTCGCCTTGGCGAACCGGAGGACCTCATCGGTCCGCTCCTGTTCCTGTCTTCCAGGGCATCGGACTTTTACACCGGGCACATTCTCTATGCCGATGGCGGCTACACGGCGGGATAGGTGATGAAGGACACAAACAACATTGCGGTCCTGGGCGCCGGGCTCATGGGACATGGAATTGCGCTCACATTCGCTCGTGCCGGTCACAACGTTTTTGTCTACGACGCTTTTCCTGCCAGCCTCGACTCACTGCAGGAGCGTGTGCGCGCCAGCTTGACGGCACTCGGTTTGGCTGATCACGAGGCCACCGAAGCCATCGCCCGCATCACGCCCGGAACGGAACTCGCCGAATGTGTAGCCAACGCGGACGTTGTCTTTGAGGCAGCTCCGGAAAAACCCGAACTGAAGCGCGCCTTGTTCGCCGATGTCGAGCGCTTTGCGTCAAAAGACTGCATTTTTGCATCCAATACATCCGTAATCCCGATCACAACGATCATGGCGGATCTCAAGGACCGCTCTCGGGCACTGGGAACCCACTGGTGGAACCCGCCGCACATGATCCCGCTGGTCGAGGTGATCCGGACCGAATGGACATCGGACGCAGCACTGACAGCAATGACGGATCTCCTGGCGTCGGTGGGCAAGACACCGGTCCGCGTCGAAAAGGACGTTGCCGGTTTCATCGGCAACCGTCTGCAGCATGCCATGTGGCGCGAGGCGATCAGCCTTGTTGAAAACGGCGTTTGCACCGCCGCTGACGTCGACACGGTCGTCAACACAAGCTTCGGCAGACGGCTGTCGGTCCTCGGGCCGATGGCAAATGCCGACCTGGTCGGCACTGATCTGACGCTCGATATCCATGAAAATGTTCTGGCCGATTTGGACAATCGGCCGAAACCTTCCCCTTATTTGCGCGATCTTGTGGAGGCAGGAAAGCTCGGAATGAAATCGGGAGAGGGTTTTCAGAGCTGGACGCCTGAGGAAGCGGACAACGTCCGTCAGCGCGTCGCGGTTCATTTGCGGAAGCTTGAAACCATCTTGAGTTGATGTGCCTTGCGACCTTGACCAGCGCATCTGGGAGGAAAGACGATGACGCTAATGGGAAAAAAATTCGGTATTAACCGCCGCCACTTCATTGCCGGCGCCACGGCCGGCCTGGCAGCCCCGGCAATCCTGACAAGAACCAGGGCATATGCCGCTGATCCGGTCATCCGGATCGGTCACGTCAGCCCGCGCACCGGACCATTGGCCGGTTTTGCGGAAGCTGATGAATTCGTTTTGGCCGGCATCGAAAAAGCGCTCGCTGGTGGTGTTGAAAATAACAACAAGTCGTACAAGATCGAGATCATTTCCAAAGACAGTCAGTCCAACCCGAACCGGGCTGCCGAGGTCGCTTCCGAACTGATCCTCAGTGATGAAGTCGACATTCTCGTCGGCGCGTCGACACCCGATACGACAAACCCGATATCGGATCAGGCCGAGCTCAACGAGGTTCCCTGCATCACGACGGACTGTCCCTGGCAGCCCTACTTCTTTGGTCGGAACGGCGACCCGGCCCAGGGGTTTGACTATACGTACCACTTCTTCTGGGGACTGGAAGACGTCATCAAGGCATTCCTCGCCCTCTGGGAAGAAGCAGGTGTCGCCCGCAAGGTTGGCGGTTTGTTCCCCAATGATGCGGACGGCAACGCCTGGGGTGACGACCAGCGCGGTTTCCCGCCCGCCCTGATCGGCAGTGGTTTCGAGCTGACCGACCCGGGCCGGTACCAGCCGCTGACAGACGATTTTTCCACTCAGATCTCGGCCTTCAAGGAGGCCGGCTGCGAGATCGTCACCGGCAACATGATCCCGCCCGACTTCGCAACCTTCTGGTCCCAATCCGCCCAGCAAGGGTTCCAGCCCAAGGTCGTTACAATCGGCAAGGCCCTGCTCTTTCCTTCCGTTATTGAATCTCTCGGTGACCGCGGCGACGGACTGACTTCCGAAATCTGGTGGACGCCCGATCATCCTTTCTCGTCCTCTTTGACGGGTGAATCCGCCCGGCAGCTGGCGGACGGATATGTCGCGGCATCCGGCAGACCCTGGACCCAGCCGATCGGATTCAAACACGCGCTCTTCGAGGTCACAACGGACGTCATCAGGCGCACTGCTGATCTCGACGACCCGAATTCCATTCTGGAAGCCATCCAGGCAACGGACCTGCCGACGGTCGTCGGTCACGTCAACTGGGGTTTCGGTCCGGTAAAGAATGTCTCAAAGACGCCTCTCGTTGCCGGACAATGGCAGAAAGGCGCCAATGGAATGGAACTGGTCATTACGTCAAATCACAGTGCGCCCGAAATTCCCACCACGGGCAAGCTGAAACTGCTGTCGTAACGAACCTCCGGCGCGCGGCCTTTGGCCGTGCGCCGTCCATCTTTGTTCCAGTCAAGGGATCTTCATGGCGCCCGTTCTTGAATTAAGGGATCTGTCCAAGTCGTATGGCGCTATAACAGTGGCCGACAAGCTCACCTGTAAGCTCGAACACGGTGAAGCGCTTGGCGTGATCGGTCCCAACGGTGCCGGCAAGACATCCATGTTCAACCTGATCACCGGAACGGTCCGGGCGGATCACGGACAGATACTCTTCGACGGCGATGAAATCACCAGATTGTCCGCCGCCAGAAGGTGCCGCTCAGGCATCGCGCGCTCCTTTCAGATCCCGCAGCCATTCGCCGGGATGACCGTATTCGAAAACGTTCTGGTCGCTGCAACCCATGGCGCCAAGATGCCGGCCCAACAAGCTGACGAATATTGCCTTGAGATGCTGCAACTCACCGGCCTGATCGACAAGGCGAACGATGTTTCAAGCTCTCTTACGCTGCTTGGCCGCAAGAGACTGGAGCTTGCGCGCGCACTTTGCGCCAAACCTAAACTGCTGCTGCTGGATGAAATCGCGGGAGGCCTGACGGAAAACGAGTGTCTGTCTCTTGTCGAGACCATCAACACAATCCGTGCCACCGGAATATCGATCATCTGGATCGAGCATATCGTTCACGCCCTTCTATCGGTTGTCGACCGGCTGATCGTCATTGATTTTGGACGGAAGATCGCCGAGGGCGATCCGAAGGAAACAATGGCGAGCCGCGAAGTTCAGGAAATTTACATGGGGGTGGATGCCGATGCCTGAGGCACTTCTGTCCACCCATGGCCTCAACGCCCACTACGGCGATTTTCAGGCCTTGTTCGGTGTCGACATCAACATTCACGCTGGCGAGGTAATCGCGATCATCGGGGCAAACGGCGCAGGCAAAACGACCCTAATGCGCTCGATCACGGGATTGCTCGCCAACAGGCCCGACATGGTCACCTACCGCAATACTCCGATCGGCGCGCTGCGGGCGGACCAGGTAGCCAGGACAGGCATCGCGATGGTGCCGGAGGGGCGTCAGTTGTTTCAGTCGCTTTCCGTGGAGGAAAACCTGATTATCGGCGGCCAGATCGGACGCAAGGGTCCCTGGGAACTGGAAAAGGTGTTCCGGCTCTTTCCGATCCTCAAGGAGCGCCGCGCCGTTCCCTCAACGGCACTATCCGGCGGCCAGCAGCAGATGGTTGCGATCGGCCGCGCACTCATGTCGAACCCGGAACTCATCCTCTTCGACGAAATCAGTCTGGGTCTTGCCCCGATCATCATCAAGTCGATCTACGAAGTCCTGCCGGACATCATCGGCGAAGGCATGAGCGCCGTCATCGTGGAGCAGGACATTGCCAAGGCCTTGAGCGTCGCCGGCAGGGTCTACTGCATGCAGGAGGGCCGGATATCGCTGGAAGGCCGCTCGAACGAACTGACGCGCGAACAGATCAGCGCCGCCTATTTCGGAGTCTGAAACATGAAAGAACAGACCACCACGCCAGATTGGCAATCCACATTCCCGGACCGGGTTCCTGACATTTTCTCAAAAGGTCTCTGAAATGGAATGGATCAACGCAATCGTTCAAGGGGTCCTTCTTGGCGGTCTGTACGCGCTGTTCGCAGCAGGGCTGTCCCTGATTTTCGGTGTCATGCGCCTGGTCAATATCGCCCATGGCGATTTCATTGTCCTGGCTGCGTTCCTGGCCCTGTCGACCACCAGCGCGCTCGGTGTTAACCCGCTTCTGACGCTTGTCATTGTTGTGCCTGTCATGGCGGTCATCGGATATGTTTTGCAACGCGGAGTTCTCAACCAGACCCTGGGCGATGACATTCTGCCGCCACTGCTGGTGACTTTCGGCCTGTCCGTGATCATTCAGAACGGGCTACTCGAAATCTACAGCGCTGACCCTCAAAAAATGAACGCAGGCGCAATTGAAACTGCCAGCCTTGCGCTTCCGGGGAACCTGAACGTCGGAGTACTGCCCCTTGTCATGTTTGGCGTGTCGGTCGCGGTGATTGCGGGTCTGCAGTGGGTCTTTTATCGCTCAGCGCTCGGACGGGCCTTCCGCGCCGTCTCCGACAAGCAGGACATCGCTCAGCTGATGGGATTGAACAAGGCTCACGTCTTTGGTCTTGCCATGGCGCTTTCGCTCGCGGTTGTCGGCATTGCCGGTGTCTTTCTCGGCATTCGCACCAGTTTCGATCCTTCGATCGGGCCAGGCCGTCTGATCTTTGGCTTTGAAGCGGTCATCATCGGCGGTCTCGGCAACCTGTGGGGCACCATGATCGGTGGCATCATCCTTGGTGTCAGCCAGAATATCGGCGCCCAGATCAATCCGGGTTGGCAACTCCTCGCCGGCCATATCGCCTTCCTGATCGTGCTCGCGGTGAAACCGCGCGGCCTGTTTCCACGGATCGACTGATGACCTCAGCAAACTACACGATATCGAGATCATCTCCCGCAAGCCGCATTGCAGCGGGGATAGGCATTCTGGTGCTGGCCGCATTGATTGCGGCTCCCTGGTGGGCCGGTCGGGCGGACATGCGCCTGTTGAGCGAGATCTTCCTCTATCTGTCCCTCGCCTGCCTTTGGAATCTGCTCGCGGGATATGCCGGGCTCGTTTCCGTCGGACAACAGGCGTTTGTCGGTTTCGGTGGCTACATGCTCTTCGCGCTGGCGATGTTCGCCGGCCTGTCTCCGCTCGCTGCAATCCCGATCGCGGGTCTGCTCGGCGCGCTTGTTGCCATTCCCGTAGCGGTCCTGATTTTTCGATTGCGCGGCGCCTATTTCGCGATCGGCACCTGGGTGATTGCGGAGGTATTTCGGTTGAGTTTCGCCCAGGTTTCCGCCCTTGGTGGAGGATCCGGCACAAGCCTTCCAGTGGCGATCGTCCGCTCCATGGCATCCAGCCGCTCCATGCGCGAAGCAACAACCTACTGGTTGGCGCTGGGCATGGCCGCAATCGTGATCGCCGTCATCTACATGCTTCTGCGTTCCCGCAACGGCCTGGCTCTGACCGCCATCCGGGACAGCGAGGTCGCTTCAAACAGCTTCGGCATCGACATCTGGCGTCACAAGTTCTTTGTTTACGTCATCGCCGCCGGCCTGACAGCTTCGACGGGAGCGCTGATTTTTCTGCAGAAACTGCGCATCTCCCCTGACGCCGCGTTCAGCGTAAATGACTGGACGGCGTTCGTAATTTTCATAGTCGTCATCGGCGGCATCGGCACGCTCGAAGGTCCGATTATCGGCGTCATCGTGTTTTTTCTCCTCCGTGAGACGCTTGCAGACCTGGGCACCACCTATCTCCTGATCCTGGGACTGGTTGCCATTGTCGTCATGCTGAAGGCACCAAGAGGCATTTGGGGCTTCGTAAAGGACAGGACCGGCATTGAATTGTTCCCGCTCTCACGTCGAGTTGTTGAAGAAAAATCGGACAGTTAGGAAGCATAGATGGCCCGCAAACGGAAAAAGACAATCATCACCTGCGCCATCACCGGCGCCATCCACACCCCGACAATGTCTGAAGCGCTTCCCTTTACCGCGGAAGACATCCTCGATCAGGCAATCGGGGCTGCCAAGGCCGGCGCCTCCATCCTGCATTTGCATGCGCGCAATCCCGAAAACGGATCCGTCTCAATCGCACCGGATCACTTCAAGGCGTTCCTGCCGGTGATCAAGCAGGCAACGGACGCGGTAGTGAATGTCTCGACCGGCGGCAGTCTGGTGAACACCATGGAAGAGCGGATCGCACCCGCCAAATGGGCATCACCTGAAATGTGCTCGCTCAACATGGGATCGATGAATTTCTCGTTCCATCCGATCGCGGACAGGATCAAGGAATTCAGATACGACTGGGAAGAAGCCTATATCCGCAACTCCGAGGGCTACATATTCAGGAACACGTTCGCGGACATCCGCTACGTCGCCAACGAACTTGGCGGAACGCATGGCGTCAAATTCGAGCATGAGTGCTACGATGTCGGACATCTCTACAATCTGAAATTCTGTATGGATGCCGGCCTGTTCAAGGCACCCGTCTTCATCCAGTTCATCTTTGGCATTCTGGGAGGTATCGGACCTGACATCGATAATCTCATCTTCATGAAGCGCACGGCAGACCGGTTGTTCGGTGACGACTATCAATGGTCCGTTCTTGGTGCGGGTGGTGCGCAGATGCCCTTCGCGACCACCGCGAGCCAGATGGGTGGCAACTTGCGGGTCGGCCTGGAAGACAGTCTCATGATCGCACGAGGCCAACTGGCCAAGTCCAATGCCGAGCAGGTCACAAAGATCAGGCGCATCGTGGAAGATCTTGGTTGCGAAGTCGCGACCCCGGACGAGGCACGAGAGATGCTGGATCTGAAAGGCGGAGACCGCGTCGCGTTTTGATATCGCTGCGGAAGGAGAAAAAGCAAATGCCGGAGATCGAACCGAAGGAACGGTATCTCAAGGACCTTGAAGGCCTGCATTTATGGCATGCCCCGATGTCGAGCTGCTCACAGAGGGTCCGTATCGTGCTCGCGGAGACGGGCAAGGACTACACCAGCCATCTGATCGACCTGGCCGGAGACGAGCATGCGTCACCCGAATACCAGGCGATACACCCAAAGGGACTGGTCCCGGCCTTTGTCGACGACGGGCGGCTCTTCATCGAGAGCGTCGACATCATCCAGAGGATCGCCCAGCCCGGCTCCGATCTTGCCAATTCCACTTCGCAGGACCTTTTGCAGTTGGCCGACAAGGCCCAGGTCGATCTGAAGCTGCTGACGTTTGAATTTCTGTTCAAGGGCGTTGAACGCAGTTCGAAGGAAAGTTTCGATGCCTTCCAGGAAAACCATCAGAATGAGTGGCTCAAGCAGTTCCGCCGGGACTACAAGGCAGGATTCGAAACATCCCGCATCGATGCAGCGGTGACGCGGACCGACGAAGCTTTCAGGATACTGGACGACCGGCTCTCGGATGGCAGGCCGTTTCTGGCAGGTGACACTTTTTCATTGGCCGATGTCGCCTGGATGCCGAATGTCCACCGGTTCAGCCTCATGGACTGGCCGTTCGAGCGGGTACCGAACTTACAATCATGGTTTCGCAGGGTTGCCGACCGTCCGAGCTACAAAAAAGCGCTCCTCGACTGGCAGAATGAAAAAGTGGCCGGAGCATTTGCGCAATACACGGGCGAGCGCCGGATCAACGGTACAGACATCCGGGCATTTGGCAGCTTGAGCGACTGATGACGGCCGCTCAAGCCTTGACATGGCTATGGCAAATCGAGCGGAAAACCTAGGCCGCCAATGCCTGACGCGCCCGGGAAAGACGACTTTTCACGGTCCCGACGGCGACGCCCATCTGGCTTGCGATCTGATCATGGGACAGGCCGGAGAACACGCACAGTTCTAGAACATCCCGTTCCTCAGGTCGAAGACCCTCGATGCTCCTGGCGACATCGCCCAGTTCGACATATTTTTCCTGTGCCGGTGCAAACGAGGCTTGCTCGTACCACTCCTCTATCGGGACATGATGTCCGCGGCGTTCGGTCTTTCGGTATTCGTCGAGTTGCGCATTGCGGACAATGGCAAACAGCCAGCTCCGCAACTTTGTGCCGTGAACAAATTGGTGCCGGTTGCGCAATGCGCGTTCCAGCGCCGTTTGCATCAGGTCGTCCGCACCTTCCGTCGTGCCGGCAATCGATCGTGCGAACCGCCAAAGATGTGGAATTTCCGACTGCAGGTCCTGTGTGAAACTGTTTTCCATCCGGGTCATCTCGCCCTCCCTTGAGGCTGCTTGGGTGACCCGCATGTAATGTTTACTGCCAAACTATTTTATGGACTTCAAAGCAAGTTCATCATGAGTTGATTGCCAATAGAAAAAAACACGATCACATAAGTGCTTACAAGTTTGTTACTTGAAGTGAACAAGAAAAATCCAAAATTTCTAACACCCGGTTTTGACTGAAGAAAATTTGCAATCGCAGGCCCCGCCGCGTTCCCCGGGCGGCACACTTCAACGAATTCACCCAATTTAACCAACGAAAATCTACTCATCAAGTAAAACGTGAAGAGTGACATACATCACATAAATAAAAAATTGGATATTTCTGTAAAAAAACCCAAAATTCTACATTCTTGGTGAGGTCATATAATAAAGCATCCACTTTTTTTAAAAAATTCGGAACCTTTTACGATCCAGCACGTTCTTATGTTGTAAGCGCAATGCAGACACCGGGTATACGGAAGGGCATCGCGATTACCGAATTCAATTCAAACAGGAGTTTAACCATGCGCACTCAAAAGAAACTGATCACTTCCCTTCTGGCCGCAGTCTTTGTTTCCGGCGCTTTCGTTGGCACGGCGAACGCGATTGATCTCGGCGGTATTTACGGCGACTCCAATGGTGATGAGCCGGTGTTTTTCACCGACAGCCAGCGCAGCGTCAACAGCAGCCAGCTCCGCGCACCATCCAGAAAAGGCAATCGC